TGTCATCAGTAGTGTACATTTTCTGCCAGTCTTTACTTCTAGTACAAAAATATTTCCCAAGAAAAAGACTAGCTACAATTGGAAGACGCTTTAAACTGTGATGCCTTTGCATCATTTATTCATTAATCTTATTGAATAGTTTAAATTAAAATTACATTTGTAATAGCTGTAGCTATTGCTTGATTATGCTGCTACTACAAATGAATTTCTATAGACTTGATTATAAAACAATCCAGAATAAATTTATTTTCCTATTTTACCCTTTTCAGTAATATACTACTTATAAAATAAAGACAAAGGTTGTGTGTTGAAGTTATGACTATATATGAAGGCATTTTATCCTGTTTTTGGCTTTGGAAAATTTCAAGACTTTGTGAAAATATCTCCAAACTACATCATCGTATGTTGAGGAAGTGATTAGACCATCCCAGATTTTAAGGTGCATAGTTTTATAGTTTAGATAGATTTCTTGTCAATCATCTGTTTCTTCTTCAAATGCCAGTAAGTCACTTTATGGTAGACTGAAATTGAATATTTTATCTTTATGTAGTGTGAATTTCAATTGTATAGGATTTTGGGGAAAAGAACACCTGCACATCAACAACAAAAAAGGAAATCATGGAAAATATTATCAGAGTTGTCATATCTTCAGCTACTGATTTTTTTTTTTTTAGAAATTCAAAATATAAAATAAGTAAATACATAAGCAAGCGTACACACACACACACACATACACACAGACACAGACACACACACACACGCATGTACTCATACTGTTATCTGGGCCTGAAGTCAGATTAGCCCCAAAGCGTAGTCCAAGCGGAATACTAGATAGCTCATATACTTGGCCTCCCAAAAGCAATGAAACTGTATCATTGGGTGCAGTGGCTCTTCGTGTGTATCATGTATTGTAGGGAAAAAATTACTGGACTTAACATACATAGTACAGCTAAATGAATATTAGGCAAAACATCAGTGGATGGAATATAAGCCTGGCTCAGTCTGTAATCTTTCTGAACCTCAGTTTCAATGTTTGTAAAGTGGTAATGATTGCTTGCCTTACTTTACTACATTAATACAAAGGGTAAAATGAGATGATATATGTGAGAGTGCTTTGTTATCTAGCCCACACTCCACATAACTGAGATATTATTTGGGGGAGTCAAGAGACTAAGTTATGTTTATGACTGCATTTTGGACAAAGCTTAAAAAGAATGTCTGTGTATGTTAAAGGTAATATGGTTGGATATTGGAGAAAGGTTTGGGAAGTTATTGGGTTGTGTTTTGGCTAGAAACTAAGTCACACAATTCACACATCTTTTTAAATATGTTTTCCAAGTGACACATGCAAGTAATTTTAAAAAGTCAAATAATTTAACAAGATTTATTTAAAACAAAGAGTTATCTCCTGTCCACTCTGCACCCAAATACATAGAACACATCCCTAGTCCTCAAAGGTAGCTATTTTCAACTTTTAGATACTTAGCTGATTATTTGTTTAGTATTTAACCCTGTATTTCTAAATAACATATCATACTGTTCCTTGATATTTCATCTTAACTTTCCATGGGTGGCTACCTTTCACACCATCCACCTTCCAGACACACACACACGTATACTCGTATGCATGCACACTCCTGTGCACACCTATCTTTGCGTACACACACATATACATGCACACTCCCGTGCACACCTATCTTTGCAGCCTACTCACTAGTACACACATGTACACTCGTGTGCATGCACACTCCTGTGCACACCTATCTTTGCGTACACACACATATACATGCACACTCGTGCATACACATTCCCATGTGCACCTATCTTTGCACACCTACTCACTAGTACACACACACAGCCTCTGACATCAACCTAATATAGTTACAACATGAGTTTTGGTTGAAAAAATAGTTTTTACATTATTATGAATCTGTAATATTATTCACTACTGATGCTTACCATTATGTTTTTGTACAAAGGTTTTACTTTCCCTGATGTTAATTATTTTATATATTTGTTTGTTTCATTTTCTATATACTAATCACTAATTAATTCCGAGACTTTCCATCATAAGTGTAATCCTCATCTCAATAATTTCAAATACATCAAGCATCCCACCAAATTTGGCTTCTTGGGGATCTCTCCCTGAGCCCGCTGTCCTCCCACTCTCATTTTCTAGCTGTGATTCTGAGATCCCCCTTTGTCTTCACCCAAATTATTAATTACCTGTGCTTTTTTCCTCTCTTGATTCTTTAATTCCAGGATCTCATGTTTTATCCTTCCTTAATTTAGTCTCATTCTATTGGCACATACCTCCACTAACATCCTAAGAAATGGATTTAGCTGGGGATTCATTTTTTTTGAAAATTTGCGTATCAGAATATGTACTTATTCTACTCTCACACTTACTAATAGTATCACGGGACTTAGAATCCAGCGTTGAAAAGTATTTTCTTTCAGAACTTTTGTTATTGCTCTCTCTCGCTGCTATTAGGAAGTTTCTGATGTCTAGTCCCTTGTTTGTGACCTGAACTTTTTCTGTCTAGAGGCTTTTAGGATGCTCTTGTTATTTTAAGTATTGTATCATTTCAAAATGTTGGGCTTTGCTATTATCTTTTTCTCACTGTTTCTTTGAACCCTTTGTCGGCCCTTTAACACTGGAAACATATATCGTTCGCTTTCTTGATTTTTTTCTTAATAATTTCCTCTGCATTATTTTTTCCATTCTCTCTTTTAGAAATTCTTATCATTCATAAATTTAGTTTGAGATAGTTTCTGTAAATTTCTTAGCTGCTCTCTCTCTTTCTCTCTGGAAGAAGATTTATGATTTAACAGTAACTTCTAAGCTTTCTATTTTTTGTAGTATCACCTTCATAATATTCAAGAACTATTATTTGTTGTTGGAATATTCATTTTAATAAGACCTGGTTTTGTTTTGTATATACATATATTCAGTCATTCAAAAAATATTTTTGAGCACCTAAGTCCCAGGTACTGTTTTAGGTACTGGAAAAACAGAAGAGAACAAAGTAAATAAATAACTTTGTTCCTGGGATTTACATTCCAGAAGGGAAGACAGTCAAAAAATGAGGTGAATTACTAAAACATATATGTTAGATAATAAGTCCTTACAAGGAAAACAAGCTAGGAAGGGGAACATGAACTTGTGGGGAAGGGGAATTGACATTGGAGATAGGGTGGCTATCTGTCTATCAAGGGAAAAGCATACAGAGAAGATGCTGAAGGAAGTGGGATAAGAAGTCATTTTTGAATATTTGTTGAAGGTTTTAGATCCCACGGGAAATGAGTGCTTGGAATGTTCAAATAGAAGCAAGAAACTTGAGTGTAGGGAACAGGCGAGGGGAAGCTGGCAGCAGGTGAGGTCTCAAGAGAGGTAGGCTGACAGACCACTCATGTAGACCTGGAGGAATTTTGGATTTTATTCTACATATAAGCAGAAGCCAGTTGAGTATTTTGAACAAGAAATTGGCAGGATTTAATTTGTTTTTAAGGAATCTTTCTTACAGCTATGTAGAAAATAGCTTAATAAAAATAGATAAGATAATAATACTGACTGACGTTTATATATTTCTTATTGTTTGTCACACTCTGTTCAAAGTGCTTGATCTATGTTTTTAAGTCCCAACAACAATCCGTGAGTTAGATACTATTATCTTCCTCCTTTTACTGGTGAGGAAACACAGGTACGCGGTCATTAAGTAATTCGCCCAAGGCATACGGCAGGTAACTGGCTCATCTAGGATATAAATCCTTGCAATGCACTTTCAGAATCTGAGCTCTAGCCCGGAGCTCTCTTGGAGAGGTGACAGAGTGTGTGCAGGGCTATTAGTTTGCAATAGTCCGCGTAAGTGAGGTTGGTAATTTGGACAAGGGTTGTAATGGTAGAGTTGTTGAGAAATTGCTGAATGTGAGAAGGGTTTGAAGGTAGAGCTGTCAGGATTTGCTGACAGATATGTGGGGAAAAAAGACTCATGGTCAAGGAAGACTGAGTATTTTAACAGTTAGGTAACTGAGGTTCCATTCACCAGGATACGGAGCATTGTGAAGGTAGGTTTGGCAGGAGTAAATCAAGATTTTGGTTTGAACATACTGCATTTTAGATGTCTGTTAAGCAGTCCAGTGGAAATACCACAGAAGAACTAGATATTGTTGAATTCTGGAATTTAAAATAGGTTAGGAATGGGATACAAATTTTAGACACACAACGTATATTTGGTATGTAAAGCAGCTGAGGTGAATGAATTCAGCTAGGGCAAGTAGCGATAAAGAAGAGGTTTGAGCACTGAACCCTGCATCATTGCAACACATCAAAATCAAGATATTCAGAAAAGGAGGCCAGGAAGAGAGCCACCAGTCAAATGGGGAAAACTATGAGATCATAGAGACTCAGAGGTCAATTAAAGTATGCTTCATGAAGGAAGGATTGATCAACAGAAAAAAAGTGCTTTTGAGGGATTGAAAGAGTTAAGGACTGAGAAGTTCTTATTGTATTTCAAAATATAGTCATGGGTCACATAGAAAAGAGCATTTTTAGTAGAGTGGTAGAATAGATTGAAAGAGAATGGGAGGAGAATAGTGGATAGAGCAGAGTATAGGTAACTCTGTTGAGAGTTTTGCTCTAAAGAAGAGAAAAATACTGAAGGAATGGGAATGGTCCAGTAAGTGGATGACATTGCTGATGTAAAAGAGTGATGCAATAATTGCAAAAGCAAAGGTCATGAGTAGGAGAGAGGGTATGGGATCCAGTGCACAATGGAAGAATTGACCTTAAGAACAGAGATAGTTTGTTCATTATAATCATATTTGGGAGTGGGAGAATATGGATGCTCCCTTTTATTTTCACCTATTTATTCAATAAAATAGAAATGTAAGGCACTCAGCTGAGAGTGATGAGCAGGAAGGATATTTTGCCTGTTTGAGGAGAGGAGAGAAGAGAATGGGTAAACCAGTTTCAGAGAGTGGGAGAAAGAATGGGCCAGTTAAAAATGGTAGGGCTGGGCGTCCCTGATGGCACAGTGGTTGAGAGTCCGCCTGCCGATGCAGGGGACACGGGTTCGTGCCCCGATCCGGGAAGAACCCACATGCTGCAGAGCGGCTGGGCCCCTGAGTCATGGCCGCTGAGCCTGCGCATCCGGAGCCTGTGCTCCGCAACGGGAGAGGCCACACAGTGATAGGCCTGCGTACCGCAAAAAAAAAAAAAAAAAAAAAAAATGGTAGGGCTGCTGGGCTACAAGGTGGTTTGTGGTCATGAAATTAAAGGGAGATAAGTTACCAAGGCTGTGTATTTTTCTGCAGACATATCCATCTCTTCTAGTGTAAACAGAGAAAAAACTGAAAGTTGGATTCAACCAGATGAGTTTGAGAGAGGATGGAGAGAAGGGCAAGAAGATTGAGGTGGGGAGCGAATATAATAAGGGGCTAAAGAATGTATGTAACAGAAATTTAAGGAAGCTGAGGACAGGAAGGGGAATATGACAGTGAAAAATTGATAATTCAGTAAACTAAGGGGTCCAAAAATTGTTGTAAACAGGGTATAAAAAGCATGAGGTGGAAAAAGAAGAGGTGATGGACTTGCAATAATCACATATTAATACTCAAGTCATAGATTTGAGTGAACACATCTGAGTGAACATTAAAGTAACTGTATATTTCCACTGCTTTTAGACTTGTGCTGAGTCTGTTTACTCAGTTGAGTTAGCAAGAGTCAAACAGAGATACTCTTTTCAGGAAATTGCAGATATAGAGGTGGCCAGAAAACAACTCATGGAAGAAGCGAGTATTTCCTTTGTCTCATAAAGGATTGATAACCACTAGTAGAAAGTTTATTGGTAGAGTTTTGGAAATAGATACATCTTCTGTATTCTTTCTTCTGTACAATTGTATTTCCCAAATAAGTGTCTTATTATTGCTATTAAAATATGGAAAACAAATTTAAAATTAACTGTAGGATTATATGGTATGTATTTTATACCTTTAAAAAGCTGTATCAAAGTGAAGTGGAGGACATGACTGCATAAGTATTTAGAATTAACAAAAAAAAGTCTTTGCTAGACTATGTCAAGTGTATCTTTTTTCTAATATGGACAGAGCAAATGAATGTTTAGAGTCAAAAAAGGATATGATGTTAAGAAACATTTTATCAAAAAGAGGATGACAACATACCATTGTGTATTTATAGTAATGGACAGTGGCACAATAGCCATCTGGAACTTTTGTAAAATGTATTTCAATTAATCATTAAGATACAACTTTTCAAAGCCAGTTTTTCCTGCTAAAATTTGGTTAATTTAAAACACTTGCATTGTTATATCCATATTTATCAAGTTATGTTCTAGCTACTTATGTAACCTTAACCCACTATTGTCAGTAAATTCAGAGGATCTTCCAGTAACAAGTATGCTCGGTATCCACATTACCAGGGATTCCCACGACAAGTGAAATTAAGTATATGGCCTTAGCTAGCAAAGTCTATTTCACATTCACTCAGCTAAATAAAACTTTTTAAGCCTTGAATCTAAGTATGTCCTCTCCCCAACTTAAAGTTTTCCATTGGACTTCAATTATACTTGAAATAAAATCCAGCTACTTTTCCATGACTTATAAATCTCTGTAATCTAGGTCTGACCTTTCAGACCTTATTTCCCTGATATTTGCTTTTCCTTCCACATGATCCAGTCATATGATCTTGTTGTTCCTGAGAGACTTACTTCTGCCATTACAGCCAAGCTCATTTTTAACTTGGGGGCTTTACAATATTTGCAGTCTTTCTTTAGAATGCTCTTCCTACTTGAATGACCCCTTGTGGTAGGCAACTTGTAATATGGCTCCCAATAATCCCTATCTCCTGATATCTGTGTCCTGTGTCATCCCCTCCCCTTGTGCATACAGTGTACCTGCAGACTCATTTCTAGTGAATAGAACGTGGGAAAATTAATGAGAAGTCACTTTTGAGAGTAGGATATAGATAGTGTCTTCTCTTCGGGGCTCTCTGTATTTTTCATTTTCATGCCTTCTAATCCCTCATTCTAAGGGAAGCCAGCTATTACATTGTGAGTACCCTGCTGGAGAAGCCCACATGGCAAGGAACTGATGTCTCCAGCCAATAGCCAGGGAAGACCGAAGGCTTGCCAGCAGCCTGTGAGGGAACCTGAAAGCAGATTCCCTCCAGTTGAACCTGGAGGTGACTGCAGCCCCACCTGACACCTTGATTGCATTCTTGGTAGAAACCCCCAGCCAGTGGACCAAGTTAAGCCACACCTGGATTCCTGACCCACAAAAACTATGAGATGATAAACGTCTGTTGTTTTAAATCACAGGTCTTAAGGCAATTTCTTATGTGGCCATAAACAACTAATATTCTTGTTCTTTTCACTCAGACCTCAGATCTAGTATCTGTTCCTCTAAGATGGGATGAGCAAACTTCTTCTGTAAAGGTCCATGTAGTAAATATTTTAGCCTTTGTGGGACATATGGTTTTTGTCACAAATACCAAAATCTGCCATTAAAGCAGGAAATTAGCCAAAGACAGTATGTAAATGAATGATTGTGGCTGTCATTCCAAGCAAATTCTATTTATAGAATCAGGTGGCAGGCCATGGTTTGCCCACTCCCACTTCAGAGACCATTCTAGGTCCCTTGATCTATATCATTTCTCCCACACTAAAGTCACTATCATTTTAACTTGTTTGATTTATTCTTTTATTATCCTTTCATTGGAATGGCAGCTACCTGAGGGCATATTGAGCTCCATGTCCCGGAACAAAGACCTGAATGGGGCCAAGGGTTGGCTTAGTGAAATTGGAGGTGGACTTCTCAAATGAGGATGAGTCCAGGAACCATGTCACCAATTAAAGACATATAGAAAAAAGAAGACCAAGGTATATCACGGTACAATCAAATATGTGATGTCTGTCCCATCCTGTCAGAAAGGGTATTGTTTGACCTCTGTTCCGTCAAAGGGAAGAATTGTGAAAACCCACCTCTATGGCAATCTCTGTATAAAACTTTCCCCAACCGCCCCAGAATATTATCCATTTCTATCTCCTTTTTTTCTGCTTTTCTACTTGGTACATACAAAACCATTTAAATATATATTTTTTCTTTTTTGTAAATTTTTATTTTATATTGGAGTATAGTTGATTAGCAATGTTGTGTTAGTTTCAGCTGTAGAGCAAAGTGATTCAGTTATACATACACATGTATCTAGTCTTTTTCAAATTCTCTTTCCATTTAGGTTATTACAGGGTATTGAGCAGAGTTCCCTGTGCTATACAGTAGGTCCTTGTTGTTTATCTATTTTAAATATATCAGTGTGTACTTGTCAATCCCAAACTCCCAATCTATCCCTCCCCCCACCCACCTGCCCGGTAATGATAAGTCCATTCTCTAAGTCTGTAAGTCTGTTTCTGTTTTGTAAACAAGTTCATTTGTATCATTTTTTTTTTAAGATTCCGCATCTAAGTGGTATCGTAGGATATTTGTCTTTCTCTGTCTGACTTACTTCACTTAGTATGATAATCTCCAGGTCCATCCATGTTACTGCAAATGGCATTATTTTGTTCTTTTAAATGGCCGAGTAATATTCCATTGTATATATGTACCACATCTTATTTATTTATTTAATTATATATTTATTTTTTTTGGAGTATAATTGATTTACACTGTTATGTTAGTTACTGCTGTACAGTGAAGTGAATCAGCTATATGTATACATACATCCCCGTTCTCTTGGACCTCCCTCCCTGCCCCATCCCACCCATCTAGGTAATCACAGAGCAGCGAACTGAGCTCCTTGTGCTATATTGCAGGTTCCCACTAGCTATCTGTTTTACACATGGTAGTGTATTTATGCCAAACCTAATCTCCCAGTTCATCCCACCCTCGTCTTCTCCCCCTGTGCCCACATGTCCGTTCCCTATGTCTGCCTTTCTGTTCCTACCCCGCAAATACATTCATCTGTACCATTTTCCTAGATTCCATATATATGCATTAATATATGATATTTATTTTTCTCTTTCTGGCATACTTACTCTGTATGACAGACTCTAGGTGCATCCACATCTCTGCAAATGACCCAATTTCATTCCTTTTTATGGCTGAGTGATATTCCATTATATATATATACCACATCTTCTTTATCCATTCATCTGTAGATGGACATTTAGGTTGTTTCCATGTCCTGGCTATTGTAAATAGTGCTGCAATGAACAGTCTTTTGAATTATGGTTTTCTCAGACTATACGCCAAGTAGTGGGATTGCTGGGTCATAAGGTAGTTCAATTTTTAGTTTTTTAAAGAACATCCATACTGTTCTCCACAGTGCCTGTATCAATTTACATTCCCACCAACAGTACAAAAGGGTTCCCTTTTCTCCACACCCTCTCCAGCATTTATTGTTTGTAGATTATTTAATGATGGCTTACATTATTTATTGTTTGTAGATTATTTAATGATGGCTTACATTAAATACGTAATTATTTAATGACGGTTTTGACCATATGAGGTGATACCTCATTGTAGTTTTGATTTGCATTTCTCAAATAATTAATGCTGTTGAGCATATTTTCATGTGCCTCTTGGTCATCTGTATGTCCTCTTTGGAGAAATGTCTATTTATGTCTTCTGCCCATTTTTGATTGGGTTGTTTGTTTTTTTGATATTGAGCTGCATGAGTTGTTTGTATATTTTGGAGATTAATCCTTTGTCAGTTGCTTCGTTTGCAAATGTTTTCTCCCATTCTGTGGGTTATCTTTTCATCTTGTTTATGGTTTTCTTTGCTGTGTAAAAGCTTTTAAGTTGCATTAGATCCCATTTGTTTATTTTGGTTTTATTTTCATTATTCTAGGAGGGGGGTCATAAAAGATCTTGCTGTGATTTATGTGAATGAGTGTTTTCCCTGTGTTTTCTTCTAAGAGTTTTATAGTGTCTGGTCTTATATTTAGGTCTTTAGTCCATTTTGACTTTGTTTTTGTGTATGATATTAGGTAGTGTTCTAATTTCATTCTTTTACATGTAGTTGTCCATTTTTCCCAACACCACTTATTGAAGAGGCTATCTTGTCTCCATTGTATAGTCTTGCCTCCTTTGTCATAGA